AATAAATAATTTTAAAGTAAAATTAAAGACTCATTGAAGAAATGGGCAAGTGAAATGAACAGACACTTCACAAAGGAAGAAGTACAAATGGCCAAAAAATATATGAAAAAACGTTCAATATCTCTGGCCATTAGAGATGCCAATTAAAACAATGCTAAGATTCTACCTCACTCCAGAAAGAATGGCGATCATCAAGAAATTAAAAGACAACAAATGCTAGCGTAGATGTGGTGAAAAAGGAATCCTCTTACATTGTTGGTGGGAAGGTAAACTGGTACAACTGTTATGGAAATCAGCATGGAGGTCTCTCAAAGGACTGAAATTAGAAATTCCACATGAGCCAGCTGTGCTCCTCATCTAGGCATCTTGCTCAAAAAGCTTAAGGCACCACACTACAGCAACACATACCATTGTTCATAGGCACAAAATCCATAACAGCTGAATCCTGAAAACAGCCTGTATACCCACCAACAGACGATTGGATAAAGAAACTGTGATATCTACATATGTAATGGAATACTACTCACTATGAAGAAGAACACATTTGGGATATGTGTAGAAAAGTGGATGTATCTGGAAAATATGTCAAGTGAAATAAATCAGACACACAAACTTGAATACCACAGGGTAGCTCTCATCTGAGTAAAGCAAAGTGCAAACTAAGAGAAAGTAAAGGAAGGATAGAACAAGACAAAGGGATGGATCTCTTGAAGACAAGAAGGGGTCCAGGGCACCCAGGGTGAAGGTTGAGGGAGAGGAAAGGGGAAATAGATAAGTGAGGACATGCCAGGTACAAGGTGCCAATCACTTCAGTGGATGCAGACACTATATGCCATAAACATGAACTAAGATTAATAATGTCAGCAAGGATGAAAAAGGGGAAAAGAGAAAACAGAGGAGAAAGGGAAGAAGGGTACATTTTTTAAAGAAATAAGCTATAGTTAAGATACTTATACTACTAATTTCTCTTAGTTTATTGAAAAGAAAGGTTTGTGCTAATATTGTTTGGAAAATTAAATGCCAATATCTTGTACTCTGAGTAACTAATTTAAAGGTAACAATATGCATTGTATTAACCATTGTTACCCTCCTATTATCTTGTTTTGAAATTTTATTTTTTCTCTTTAAAAGAAAAAACAAGCTATATTATGTACATGAACCAACCCCTGAGATGACTGTAAAATGCATGTACTCAAACATGTACTAATAAAATAAAATAACTCAAAAAACTTACCTTCAAAAAACAAATTACCCAATCAAAAATGGGCAAATTGTCCGACGCGTCTCTAAAGAAGAAATACAAATGGTCAATAATTATATGAAAAATGTTCAACATTATTAGCAATTACTGAAATGCAAATAAATACTGTATTGAGATTTCACTTTACCCCAGTCAAAACAGCTATCACCAAGACTACAAAAAACAATAAATGCTGGTGAAGATATGGGGAGAAAGGAACCCTTTTACATTGCTGTCAGGAATGTGTAAAGTGCATATATAGGGGAAGATAAAATGCCAGTTTCACTTAAGAATGTCCTTTATAGAGCAAAACAAGTTTAAATCTAAAAAATAAATAAATGATAAATAGCAAAATGTATTCCCCAGAATCAAGCACTAAATTTCCTACAAAATAAATACACACAAAAGTTGTTTTACATTTGTGCGCTCAGATAAAAGGTCACTTAACATTTTTAATTAAAGCACATTAATTAAAGAGTAAG